CAAATAAAATTGTCCTACCGTGTATAAATAGCATCTCTGAAATCACTGCAGGACTATTCAGACCTTATGGAATTGATGTTGTCTACAAACCAACAGAAGATCACCCGGTTCTACGCCAACCGAAAGACATAACAGTGAAAGAAGATAAAAGCAACGTCTGATTGCATGGAGGATTTCACCATGAGTTGACATCAATTAGAGAACCACTGGAAAACCTGGGAATATTGGACATCTGTTTCGTCCTAGTTTGGGACTCCTTATCAGTACGCACCCACCGGGATTCGAATCCAGGACCTTTTGGTTACAAGGCGAGCTCGTAGACCACTGAACCACTGGGACCCGAATCAATGGCCCATGAATTCTAACTTCTGACAATTCACGACATAGCGCGACCATTTCGGAATGTCTTCTTCGATGAGTTACTGCCTCATCTTCAACCTTCTCTACCCTACTGGTCACGGCTTCCCATTAGAACTCCAGGTTAACTTCCTGAATAGGGCCAGTCACTAGTGAGCATCAGATTAATTTTCAAGTAATGGTTTTGTAGGCATTTTGTTTGATTGCATGGAGGATTTCATCATGAGCTGACATCAGTTAGAGAACCACTGGAAAACAAGCTGGGAGTACTGGACAGCTGTTTCGTCCTAGTTTGGGACTCTTCATCAGTGGTTCTCCACTTCAGAGAACACAACTGCATCAGAACTTAAAAAACTGTATTCTACTTAGATTTATTAAGAAAAATAAAAAACCACATGGTAATTTTCACTTTGGACACTTTTTCATATCTGAATGCCTATCTCGTAATTACATTGCCTTAATCACTGACAACACAGAGATAGGTTAAAAGTTGAAATACACAGTTTATATAATAAAAATAATGTTCTTTCAGTAAACAAATCTATGAGGTTAAATCTCAATTCATTTCATACTTAGGTAGAAAGTACAGTCAACACTGACTGCATAGAAAATAATTTTCTCTATCATGTAACTAGATATATAACCGTTGATAATTGAATTATCTGTTTCTTCTCCAGTTGTTACTTTTTTTCTTAATCTCTTCACCTAAGGGCTTTTTTCCCCAGTTTGTATAAAAAAATCATTCCAGTTATTACTGAAATGTGGTGTATATGCACGAGGGAGCGGGCGAGCAAGCGCGTTCGTATTTTTGTTGCCTTTATTTTATTATTCTTGATTGACAGCTTCCCCTAGAATTTGCCAATCACACTTGTAAAAATTAAAATATGTATCTAGGTGAAATAAGATAATGAACATCAGATATGGCTACTTTCTTTCCTTTTCACCTTAGCAATTTTTGTTTTTAACTCCTCTGTTTCTCATAAAATTAGTACTATTCGTATTACTACCAGTATGTTGTAGTAGCTATACATGCAGTAAGTAACACATACACATATATATATATTCAGTTAGAAGTTATTTATAGTTCAAAAAAACATGGTAATGATTATAAAACGCATTAATCCCCCTATTTATTGGGGGTTGTCTTTCGTTTTTTTTCAGTTTTTTAATAGCTTGTTTTATTGCTGTTTTATGATGAAGTAAGCTATAAGTGTTAAATGGGTTAAATTACAGTAATTGCTTGTATGAAGGTTGAAATTTTGATTGGATACTAGTAACTAGTGTGTGATGTGTCCAGTCCTTTGTTTGGTGGAGACTGAATTCTATCAGTCAGATTTGCAGTGTGGCCACCATTCTAGGTAGCTCGCCATCACGGTGCACCTTGATTTGATTATATTAGATAGTTGGAAGCAATCGGCCGCAGGAAGCTTTGCTCGATCTAGGTTTCGTACTAGTTGGCACTCATCAGTCAGTAAAGCCTATCTGCAGTCTTGAAGGGATTCATGTCCCTTCTGAGATTCGAACCCGCGTCACTCAGTTAGTACTGTAGTCAGAGACGTTACCAATGAGCTATCCGGGCTCGCGATTGATCTCCTGTAGGATTGTATTTGATACTTTGATTAGACACTAGTAACTAGTGTGATATGTGTGTTTAGTCCTTTCTTTGGTGCAGAGTGAATTGTATCAGTCAGGTTCGCACTGAGGCCTCCATTCAACGTAGCTCGTCGTCACTTATAAATATGTTTAACCAATAATATCAGTCTTTCATTTTGTTTGATTATAACTACTACACATGTATAACTTATCATTTCCTTGATAAATTTGTCTCCGATGTTCTTGTTTTCTCATTACATTACAAAGAAGTTGGACTTATATGTACCTGTAGAATCCTTCGTTATATATGCATATCGTGATATCGGAACTATTTCTCCAAAATAAGCTAGTTCAGTCGCTGAAAAACAGGACGGATGCAGACTTGTTTAATTCCGTTTTTCTTAGTTATTTTTCTTCATTCTATTCATATTTTGTTTAATCTTCAATCATAAAAGATTAAATTAGTTTGTTTCGATAATAATTATTATTGTTCCCATGGACTGCGAGTGGAACATAAGGCTTCAACAACACATCTCCACTTTGTTCTATCTCCTGCCATCCTCGTCAGCTGGGTCGACGATTGACCCAACTCTTTCCTCTATTCCTCGCACTATCTCCTCCATGTCACCCTCACACCGACGACCTACTCATCGCTTTCCATTTGGATTTCAATCGAGGACCTGGCCTGGAGCGAGATGTCATTCTATGGTTTCCTCAGTGTATGCCCTATCCATTTCTTTTTCTCATACATATTTGTTGAGCGATCGGCTCTTGGTTGGTTTGTTCCTAGCCACAGTTTCTTGTTGCTAATTCTTTCTCGCTAGGCATTTGATCTTCCAGTATGAAGCGAATGCAGCTGTTGATGTAAATCTGCAGTGGCCTGTTAGAAATGCTTTCCGTTACACACAGTGCAAGTTTCCAACCCGAATAAAAGGACCGACTTGAACATTGGTGTTGAAAATCGGAATCTCGTTTCTTTTGGTGAATGCAGATTTCCAAACTAGTTTCAGGTTGATGAAGGCCTTTTCGATTCTGGCTGGCCGGCCTTGACATTTTCATCCGTTCCGACTGTCTGTAATTGAGACAATGCTTCCCAAATGAGTGAGTGAAGTAAACCCTGTCAAATCACTCTCGTTGATGGTGATTGGTGCTGGTTGTTGTTGTTGTTGAGGTTCTTTGGTTATCTTCATCAGCTTTATCTTCTTTATGTTCATCTGGAGTCCTGTCTTCGCAACCAGCCTTATTTATGCTCAAGTTAATTTAGGCAACTTGGTCTCCGAATGAAATTCTTAAAGTAGAGTGAAAACTCGGAACACTTTCACATCTTCGTTCCTATCAGTTACAAAAGGAATTTAGTGAAGACCCTTAGCCACAGAGTTAGAGCTATATTCTCAGAGGAAGTAATTGAAGATGAATTAAACATTGTATATGATACTTTGATCGAAAATGGTTATCCTGACAAATTTATCAAGAAACATATGACAAAGAAAGCGGAAAAGGACTACTAACTGTCTGTAAACAAGAAACCTTTATATATACGACTACAATTCATTGGTGATATACCAAGCGAGATAATTACGAAGAAATTATGAAAATCAGTTCAAAGAACTTTTAATGCTGGCGGACTACACGTATTATTCTCTACACGACATATGGTGCTACCTCGACTGAAAGATGAAGTACCTAGACTAGCCACTGCAAATTGTATCTATCAGTTCAACTGCGCTTGTGGAGCGAGTTATGCTGGCCGTTGCTCTAGGAACTTGATTTTTCGTGCTCACTCGAGAACATCTCCCACTATGGCTGAGTAAAAATGTGGTTAAAACTATTAATAGCTCGATGTTAGACCCGTCACAAAGCCAGCATAGAAGAATCCTTCTCTATAATATATCAGGTGCCTAACAAATTACCAAAATCGTCGAAGCACCGCATGCTCCAAAAAGCAGAGGCTATAGAAACTCGCCTCAAACAACCAGTGCTCTGTGTTCAGAAGAAACAAGTCCAGCCCCAACTACTGCCCTGGTCCTCAGTAGAGACTATAAACTCATGAATTTGTACTATTATCTTTCCTAATTCTTCTGACATTCAGTTTACTTTATGTTGATGCTGTTCAGCTGTAATCTATCAATATTATTCATTTGATGTTATTTAAACATTAATGTCGTTCATAAGACTAATTCATTCATTCATTATAATGTATATATAATTGTAGAGCCTGATGATGAATTTATCGAAAAGAGTACTCTTTGTTCTGTGTCCATTCTTTTGAAGACTCGGAATTGATTGAAAATAAACAAATCGTCAAATTTTCGGTGTAACAGATTACTTGATTAACAATCATACTGTGTTTTTATCACAATAAAATGTCTCAAAAGCCGAGGTGCTTAAAAATATTATGAGAAGCTAATACTACGGTCGCTATTCATTAGTACAATTCGAGGATAATACAGACGTAACCAATGAAAAAAGGAGAGTCAGTTCATACTATATTCAATTCTATCACTCATACTAGAAGTCTATTCAAATACGTCAACTGTACTGCTACCGTGGTGAGAGCTGGCTGCTAGCCAAATTGGTAGATGGTAATTTAAGTCAATGTTTACGTCCTCGTGAGAAAACTATGAACAAAGACTGATTCAACAACCAACCACAGCAGACTTTGCGTAGACGGATACAGTTAGCACATAGACGATCTAACATTCAAGAAACAGTCATAAAGAGATGAAAGATTAACTTTCAGTGAGAAACAACCGATCAGAAGACTGTATTTTTCTGCTAACAATAATCTATAATAATGTACATGAAAAGCTATAAATATGTGTTGATTTCCTTAATAAAGGATCTGTTGCCTGGCCCTTGTCTTCTGTTGTTACACTACTAAAACTGCTAGTAAGTAGTTTGAAAAGCTTTGCTCAAATTTGCCTGTCTTTTATATACTTACAATATGTATTTCTAAGCGACATAGTGATTCTTACTATGAACACTTTTGTCTTGTGAAATGAAATACATGAATCCCGGTGAGGAAAAGAAAACAGATCATCATTTCTCAACTTTTTTTAAAATTATATTTTATCAAGAAAAAATTTACGACAAAAAAGATAAGCGGTAAATACACAAGTGTCAACATTCTTAATCTTAGAGAATATACCTTTTTTGTTGTTGTTGTTGTTGGAAACATGGATTAATATTGCTTATGTATGCATACATATGACAACTGTAGGGTATTTCAAAAGCTTGCGGATGCTTGATTAATACTGCAAATAAGTGAATTGTCATTTGTACATATATATAAAAAAGAAAATCAAAGTTGTAAGTGGTTAGGTGAAGTTTGAAGAAGTTTATAAGTTTAGCGGTATATGAGGTACATAGTTATAGATTTGTAGAGTTTTTCCTGTTACTTCTGTTTCTCTATGGAATGTTTCACTTCATTTCAAGTAGATTTAAGTGAGAGGTTAAGGTCATACTTGGCTTGTGGGAATCAACTAATTTCTAGTTGCTTCCTTGAAACAATTCGAAACATCTTCTTAAGAAGGCAAGTAGAGTAAGTACAGTGTTAAAATTGCATTAAACAATCTTCATTTTGCAAATTATAGAAATGATAATGATAATATTGAATTAATCACAGTAAATCTCTCAATACTGAAGGACACACAATCACCTAGACAATGAGCGTAAATTATATCGTCCAAATAAAATTTTTCTGAAAGCATTACGAAAATCTGGTGAAAATATTGTATAAATAATAGGATTTAATAATGAATTTGAATAACCTAACCATAATATTGTACTTTGACCAAATTTAGATATAGTGAAATTTTCTGTAAATGGTGAGATTAAGGCAACAATAAAAAATGGTAACCAACACAAGAGAAAACATCCTGTGATGATAGCCAATGTTGAGATTGCTTTACGTTCACGTTTTGTTTCTAGTCGTTCACGATTCACTTGTGTCTGTTGCAATGACATAAGATTTGATGTGATAGTAGTAGTAGTTTCATCATTCAGTGTATTTGACGGTATTGGTGGTGGTGGTGGTTGGGACGGTGGTAATGCTGACGTGACTGGAGTTAGTATTAATGCTGGTTGTTGGTGTAGATGTTGCGGTAATTTTACCGGATTTGTTGTCGAAGAATCAGCATTTCTATTCGCGATTAAATTCGACACTGATTTAGCCAATTTTCGATGACTATTTTCTAAACGTAACAAATGACACATTTTACCGTGTACATCATTTTGCCTTTTTGTTACATCCAAAACAATATGATTTTCTGTTTTCTTACTAGCATTATTACTATTATTATTATTATTGTCAGTATTAACAGCGCTGATATTATTTTTACGCTGTGCAAACTGAGACACTGAACTGGGATCTACAACACTGTAACACGTTCCATGGTCATTAGTTAAAGAAATATCCTTGACTGGAGAGTTCAGATGATTTTTAAAGCAACAGAATGCTGAATGTTTTAACTGGCCAACTTTTGGATTTTCACTGGACACCTTCTCGTTATTTGACAGATGGTTATGATTCAACTTACTATCAAAAACTGAAGGACAACAATTACAAAGTGTCTTTAATTTACCCAGACATCGATTTTGTTGTTTTTTAGACATTTTTCCTTGACAATACCTTCTCTTATGAATGTGTCCATGATGATGTCCCTGGTGATGATGATGATGATGATGATGTTGGTGGTGATGATGATGATGGTGATTATGAAGACCTTCATGATGATAGTCACGATGATGATGATGAGGGTGATGATGATGATGCCTTTGATGATAATGATACTGACTGTCAACTGGTAACGATGAATATCTTGAAAATGAAGAAGATGACAATGATGGAAGCGATGGACATGAAGAGGATGCTGATCCTGATCCTGTTGATGATGATGATGACCACATCACCGAATTCGTGTGATCTGTTGTAGGTGTTTCAGATAACTGAGAATTAGAATTTGTTAATTCCGAGAAATATGTACTAGAATTCGTCAAGTTAATAAGAATCGGTGGTGCTGAACTTGTATTTCTAGATATTGATGAATATATCGGTGTATCAAATTTATTTGAATACTCTTGACCGTCAGATGAAGAATTAGCTCTATAATCTAATTTTAGAAGAGAATTTGATTTTTTCATTTCCTTTTGATGATTAGATTTCCTTCTTTGCTTATTTAAACATCTTTCTGTGTAAATATTTGGTTTACATTCACAATTGATCAAATTTTGTCTGACATTGTCATCATTTAACAGGACTGGTTTTGTGTGTATGTAGTTTCCGTTCAAATGTTCAATAGAATGACAATAATTTGATTTGTTCTCTACATCATCGACATATGGGATAGATTTATCATTATTTAATTGATTCATAAAAGAACAATATTTGTTATCACTTGACGTGGTAGTAGTCATGGTAGTAGTTGCTGTTGGCTGTTTTACAGCAGAAATTTCTGCTGCAATATTACTAGTGTGCCTGGCAACTTCAGTACAGTCTGTATCTGCGATATGCGAAGATGAAGGATTCTCTTGATTCATATTATTCTGTATTGCTTGAGGATTATTTTTCACATAAGCCAATTTAATTGATCTTTTTTCATCATATTTATTGTATCGACAGCATGATAATGAGCATAGACTCCTTTTAAATAACTTTTGATGATGTTTTTCTCTTTCCTTTTTTTGTGTCATACTTAAACTGGACGTGGCGGATTGTTTAAAGGCGGAACGTCGAATTCTTGCTCTAGCCACCTGATAAATTCTAGCATATATACCAATTATGAATATCATAGGCATATAAAATGCTCCAATATTTGAAAACACTGTATAACCATGCTCTTGATTGATTCGACAACTTGGTGGTTCATCTAATACCATATCAGGTGAATATCCACCATAATTATACGATCTAGTTGTATGAAATCGTGCAGGAATTGATATTAAAACGGATAAAAACCAGAATATGCCTATCATAATGCCTATTCGACGACCAGTTCGTCGACGAATATACTCTGCATTTGTAACAGCCCAATAACGATCTAAAGCAATGCCGACTAGATGAAGTATAGATGCTGTACAACAGAGTACATCTGAACACACCCAAAAATCACACAATGCTTCACCTAAAATGTAAAAGGAAAATCATAATACGATAAAGTAACATCTACCGAAAACAAAGTGACCTACATTCACAGTAACATTTCATAGTCAGTTTAAACCTTCAAATAACCAAAGTTTCCTAATTGAAAAATTAATAACATGTCTTCATTTAGCCTACTGTCACTCGTGAACAACGGCACAGTGAAACGTACAAGCAGCATCTTGGGTGTTACTCTTTAGGCACCAAAGGGGGTACAAACACAGTAATGACCGTGGGACGCTAAGTCAGTAAGTTACTGAGACTAGAAATAAAAATGCTGACTGAAGCGTTATGATATTCAACTGGATATCTTGTCACTTTTAGGTTAGGTTTTGGTAAGATTAAGAACAGATTGACCAAATTAAGTACTGCGTCGGTGGCGCAGCGGTAGAATGCTCTCTAACCACGCCTCATGTGGTCCGAGGTTCGATCCCCTGTCGGCGCACTCCCAAACCTCGCTGAGCCAGTAATTAGACTGGTAAACAAGGAACGTTGGACATGAGGCTAGCAACCCCATCCCGTAAAAAAAATTAACGCCACTGCTACAGAAACTTCAAGCCTCAAGCTTGAAGCCCTATGTTCCACTGGATAGGTAAAGGAATAGAAGAAACAAATTAAGATGGTATTAAGTTTGGTTCGAGGTAGATTAGGGCTAAAACAGGAGGATTACCTTTCAATTTAATGTGTCTTTCCAAGACCAGTGGTGCATTCACGCCTATATGGTGTTTAAAGTTTAACTTTATTGATCATGCGAACTCATAAAACAATCTATTGATTAGTGTCACTTGTAAAGAGAATTCCTAAGTAAATGCAAATTTCACTTGTGCTATATATAACACTATAAGTGGAAGTTTGAAACAGATTTATTTTCTTGGTGAACATACAAAACTGCTACCAAGTTCTCTACCCTCATTAAAGCCAATTCACTACATAAATTAGATAAATTTAATTATATAAGCTTTTTATTCAATCGTTCATTTGTTGGATTATTTTTATTTTATGTTTTCAGAGTGGACAGTGAAGTGTTATCAGCAAGCTAGACAGACAGAATAATATTAAAACTTGAATAGGATTAGCATTTGTACTTCCTAATTCAAGTATTGTACCATTAAAACAGAAAAAAACCACAGTATTTTTTTCTTTTATGCATCCATTTTAGACAGAATTTGTCTCAAGTATTGGTTTTTGTAGGGATTTTGTTTGAGTGGTTGGAGGATTTCATTATGAGCTGACATCAGTTAGAGAACCATTGGGAAACCAGCTGGAAGTACTGAACAGCCAGTTGTTTCGTCATAGTTTGGGCGTCTCCATCCGTACGCACCCACAAACAGGATTCGAACCCAGGACATTCTGGTTAGAAGGTGAGCTAGCTCGTAGACCATTAAGCTACTGGGACCCTATCCAATGGCCAGCACATGAATTCTAAATTTTGCCAATTCATGACATAGAGCAATCACTTCTCAATGTCTTCTCCTTCGATGAGTTACTGCCTCACTTTCAACCTGCTGCACGTCTCATCCTAACTTTATTGCAATTCACTCCAAGCGTTGATCAAACAGTAGAGCTAATTGTTATTCAGTTTCAGTATAACGCAGCTTATTATAATTAAAGCGGAATAAATGACAGTTTGAAGGTGCATCGGTGGCATAGCGGTTAGGACGCTCGCCGACCATGCACATGGTCCGGGGTTCGATCCCCGGCCGGAACACTCCTTCATCTCGCTAGGCCAGAAATAATTCTGATGACGAGGAAAAGGTTGGGCATGAGGCTAGCAATCCCATCCTGTAAAATGAGCACTGCTACAGAAACTTTAAGACACAAGCTTGAAGCCCTATGTTCCTCTGCGGAATGTGAAGGAAAACAAAAGAAAAAAAATAGTGTGAAAACTGCACAGTTCGATAAGAAAAGTGAATAAGATTTCCATTTGAAAGCTGAAATATTCAAATCAAAAGATATTAAGCCATACATGATCTTAACAGTACAAGCTATTTGGTACTAAATGTGCGTCGGTGGCACAGTGGTTAGGGGTTCGATTCCCTGCCGACGCACACCCGATATCTATGGTCGGCCTGCGAAATTTGGGCTACCGATATCCATACTGAAAATTCCATACTTGTACTGAAAATACGGTGTGACATCAGGCTGTATTCAAAATAAAATAAAAATAAATGAATATTTGGATGGCAATCACGTCAACTAACAGCGACTATTTGTCACATGGAAATTATCTAAACACTGAATGGTCATTTTGCTTGCCCATTGCTTCGGAATGAAATCATTAGGTACACAAACAATATATATAGGGAGAAACTGAGGGAAGGAAAAAGAAATTGGAGCAGATGTTTATTTTCAGTAACATCCTTGGGGTCCACTGACGTGAACTGACAGGGCAGATGAAATGCAATAACGGAGATAAAGCATACTCTAGACAATTATGCCAATACATTTATTCCCCTGAATGAATTTGAATAAAGTAAGAACAACAGTTTGTGCAGAATAAAAACGATACCACAATTTATTTTGTTGGTTTCTCATCAGCTGCTTACAGTCCGAAATCATCATTAAGTATATCTACAGAAACATTTTTAACATATTTACATAGAGAGTTCATTTTTAAACAAAAACGAATCAAGCAATATGTGCATACAATGCTAATAATAACAATAATAATAAAGACTTTATCCCAAACAGCAATGAAAATACACAATGGAAACATTTGGGCATCATGTAATCAGGTCAACGAGAGTGTGAAAATACCCAGTTACCAGGGGAAGGAAAGATTGATGACAGCTTCTTTCTGAACGCATAAATCGGGTTTCAGGTGATTGATGGAGATTGCTTCGGCAAATTTACGCACATGCCAAAACCGAATCTATTACGGAATATGAAAGTGATGAAAAGTTCAATTTACTCGACATTGCCATGCAACGCCTGGGAAATGACAGTCTCCAGAGATCAATTTACACAAGTATGGAAGATGTGAAGGCTCAATTACCAGGCAAATCACAGTGACGAAAAGTCATTTACATTCACCTTGGTTTCGAAGATGAAAATATTGCAGCAATAGTTAACAGAAAATTCAATACGTTACCAGCCAGAACCTGTCCTGAGGCTTAGCTGGTTTCCGTTTATCAGACAACATGCTCTTTGCTGCAGCAAAGAAACGATATATACCCTTCTGATCTCAACTCCAACTGTGTATACAAGCTTATGTGTATCTGTGAGGGCAGTTGGACTGGAAGAACAGAAAGAATGGCACACCTCCGATTTCTTGAACATGTAGCGAAAAGCCTACGTCTCAAGTGAACAAATGCTCTAAGCAGTGACATTGCCAGTCATCTCCTTGACATGGGTCATGAAGTGGACGTCGCAAAAGAGTTCAATTCTCCTCAAGTTTGCCGAAGCATTTTTCATCAAGCGCCTGAAATCCAATTTATGTTTTCAGAAGAAAGCAGTTATCAGTTTTTCCTTGCTTCTACTGAAAATTCGAAGCATGAAGCCTAATGTTCCAAAAGGAATGCAAAGGAATTATAGAGAAAATTAGTATATATATATTATTATTGTTCCTAGTGGAACATAGGGCTTCAACTGCACGCCTCCACTTGCTTCTGCCTTCTGCTGTACTTTTCACCTGCATCCATGTTAGTCCATACTGTTTCAACTTCTCTTCACACGATCTCCTCCATGTCACCCTTGCACTGACGAATCACTCGCCGCTTCCCTTTCGGGTTCCACTCGAGTAAGGGCCTGACGCGCGATGTCACCCAGTGGCCTCCTCAGCGAGTATCCAATCCATCTCCACTTTCTCCTGCATATTTGTTGAGCGATTGCTTCTCGTTTTGTTTCTTCTCATAGTTTCTTGTTGGTGATTCTTTCCGGTCATCTGATCTTCAGTATAGAAGGAAGACAGCTGTTGATAAAGGTCTGCAACAGGCTGTTGGAAATATTCCTTGTGACCAGCCAAGTTTCTGATCCGTATAGAAGAACTGTCTGACTTGACGTTTGTATTGAAAATCCGAATTTCGTTGTTGATGCTGAGTTGAGTGACGAAGATTTCCAGATTGGTTTCAGGTTGATGAATGTGTTTCTCGCCTTCCCGATTCTCGATTTGACATCCTCGTCCGTTCCTCCTGTGGTTGAGACAATGCTCCCTAGATAAGTGAAAGAAGTAACCTCTTTCAAATCCCTCCCATTGATGGTGATTGGCGCAGGATATTGCTGCTGTTGTTGTTGTTGGTTGATTATTTTCATAACCTCTGTCTTGTCTATGTTCACCTGGAGTCCTGTCTTTGCTGCTTCTTCGACCAGTTTGTCGGTTTTCTCTTGTAAATCTTCGATTTTGTGTGACATCAAACATTAATCATCCACGCGCGAAATCCAGGTCTTCTAGGTTCTTCACGTTGGTCCAGGATATCCCTGTCTTCTCGTTTCCCACTGTCTCACGCATAATCCAGTCCACCACAATTAGGAATATCATTGGTGATAATAAGCACCCTTGTCTGACTCCTGTGTTTACTCCAAAGGCCTCTCTGAGTTTTCCGTTGTGGATCACTTGACATGTGCCGTTGTCGTACAGCTGTTGAATAAGGTTGATGAATATTTGGGGTACGCCGTAGTACTCAAGTAGTTTCCAAATTACTTCGCGGTCAACGCTGTCGAAGGCCTTCTCGAAGTCGATAAAGTTGAGGTAGAGGTTTGATTGCCATTCCATGCTTTGTTCGATGATGATGCGTAGAGTTGCAATTTGATCAGAACATGATTTGCCTTTACTGAATCCAGCTTGATCTGGTCGATATATATATATAAATGGTGATATTTATCAGGACCTGTGAGTAATGCTTTATATTAAATGTGTCACATTATTTTAAATCGAGTAATATTGCACTTTTTATTTGAAAATACACCAATCAAGAGAAATGCAAGAATATCCTAAATAACAATTTCGTCTTCGCTGTCACACACAGAAACTCAAAATACACTTCA